GGTCCGCAGTACAGACATTGAAGAGAGCCTTGGTGTACTGCCGCTGCTTCTTCGTACTGCGAAAGCTACAGCTGCGATGTTTTGGGCACGTCATGCGAATGCTTCCAGAAACAAGACGAAAATCTACTACTTGCCTAATAGACTGGATGAAAACTCTGAGGACGGTCAAGAATGACCTGCGGCAAGCATTTTGAACAGCTCTGCTACAGACTTAGATTATTTCCCGCAGAGGCCCAAAAGCTGGCGCTGGATCACAATCGTTGGAAGCACTGTGTAACGGGTCTGCCTTCGCGACCCGAAAGGTTTAACTGTCATTTAAACTGACTTCTGTGTTAAAGCATGTAGGGTGCAGATATCCTATTGAGTGCGGAAATTTCGACCGATATTAACTTTCTTCTCCAAGCCGATGGTATGGAAGTTGAAAGCGAGAGTCTCGCCAAATAAGGCAGTATGAATGTCACAGTGTTTTGTGTACCGACCTCTGAATACCCAAGGATGCAATATTCGGCTGTTTTGCTGGAAGGGCGTACTTGCAGTACAGCGTTGTGTCATATGCTGCTTTCAAAAATTGTGAATGTGAATCTCCTGTGATCAATTCCTCATCAACTGGCAAATTATTTCTGCCATCATAGCAATTCATGAAATTAAATGGACAGGAATTAAATGCATGTAGAACGAAATTTCGCTTCAGAGCCCATAACTGATTTATCAAATACTTTCGAAATTCATGGTTAAGAATTCGAATACATATAGTGAATGCCCTGAGCCCTCACATGCATGCAACATTTGTAGAGACACTTTTTCACTGACTTTACATGACATGAACGCTATCAGTCTTTGTCGTCGTTGTCGTTTTGTCATTGTCTTCTGATGTTGGTAAAGCATAATCAGCAGAGTAGCCCAGTTGTATGATGTTAGATCATTAGGCATAAACACATTCAGTTCATAGAGACTCGATTTTTCCCAGAGGCGTTTTATGCAAAGCTCAGGAACGTTCACTTCCGTTTATCAGCTGTCTTTTCATGCATTTTACCTATGATCACGTACTGCCGCCAGAGACTGCGAGATCATAGCATTACGATCGCGCAAATCTGTTCCAAGGCTGAGTGACATGCTATTAGATGACTGATGTTGCAGATTGAAGAGTCGTCGATCGCAGATTGAGTTCATATGGGGCGTAGCATACTGAAGAACATTTAATATCCTCTATATGACAGTCTTTCAAAGTGCCTGTCCAGCCGTAAGTCCGCGAGTTTCCAGTCGTTTCAACAACTCTGCAGATTCGAAGTTTCTTCGCAGGTCATTTGTATCGTCATCAGCGCATTTTCGCGAAGATTCCCAAGCTATTCAACTGTGTTCAATGGCACAGATGCTTTATTACTGTTGTTTTTAAAGGTTCTTTATTTTGTTACTTGTTAACTTCGAGTTTTGTTTTTTGTTCCCTCTGCTTTATTTGTTTGATTGCCTAAATTTTGAGCGTCTTTATTTCTCTTAGTGTTCTGTGATGTCATGTAATTACAAACGTTTTCGTTTCCTTATGTGATATCGCTCGTTTTCGTGTACTGACAAATTGTATTTATTGTGATGCCGTTCAAGCAGTAAACAGGTAATCATAACTGAAGGATCACCGAGCGAAACGGGACGGGTTGTTTGACAAAGATTTTTCCCGCCTAAATTAAGCTCATTTCTGATAAAAGCTTTTCCGTAGCTTGCTGCTGAGTGGTTTTCCTCAGATAGCATGCTGTTATCGATGTCGAAAGTGAAACATCTTGAACTTCGGATGTGTCCAGGCCAATAATGTCAAGAAGAGAGTTAAATCTTGTTTGTCTACATAAACATTCACATCAGGTAGCTGTTTCATTGTTTTGTCTTCATATGACAAAACTTTCTTAATTTAACTTTCTTATTTTAAGCAAGAGTTCGTCAAACCTTATTTTGGCGTCATTCCCATTGCTCACGCCGATTTCACGCATCTATAGTAAACAACAACAATTGACTGATCCTTCTTCATAACTGATAGGGGGGTGAGGGGTGAATCACCACTGCCAAGTATCGATGACCACGGCCCACGTTCATCTGTATCGTGCAATTTGCCCACAAGCTTCCTTATTACTCTTTTAACTCATCGTCTCATCTGAACCGTCTTCCAAATGGGCCCTTGCAACCCCTTGGGTATAATGCGTAACTGGTGAAGTAAATCGATTATCCGCCTGTCTTTAGATGTTGTCCGCCAGAGTTCAGCTCGACCTGTACGCAGAGGACTGGTGGCCATTTTTGTAATTTCTGCTTCTTTCGATATTGGTAAATGTCCAAGCATACTGGAGAGAACGTCGACTTGTCCTTCACCCCAGCCGAATCCTTCCAGGTGACAACTCGGTGAGACTTTGCCCACTCAAGTTTTCTTTGGCAAGCTTTGGCCCAGCCACCTCTTCTCGGACGAAATCCGCATTACGGAGCGGTGCCTCATCTCGCAGAAAACCAACCTATTAACTAATTCATTTGTGCAGTTTCTCTCAGATGGTAGCGGGCGATAGTAATTTTGGAATTTTTTCTCTCCAACAAATCCCGCATGGATTTAAAGGGGCCACAATGCCAGGAGTTTAATATATCTGAACCACGTACTTTGTGTCTTTGCCTTCTTACCATGTGACTTTCCATAACTTCGTGCATCGTTCTTCTGCAACTCTGACCACATGTTAACAGTTCATCTTTGGAATTGCCACTTATCGATGCTCACAAGTGTTTCGACAGAAAAAATAGAAGCGCATTTCAATGATTATTTACCCTTCGTCGTGTGTATTCAAAGCTTGGCGTTTTGCCGTAAAAATTGCGAAAAACTTGTCAACTCATAATGATAGGCCGGGGATGGGGGCAGTGCCTCAGTGGATGATTAGTTAGTAATCAAATTCCAGTAAATTAAGTTTTGCTTTAACACATTTCTCTAATCGAGCAAACAAAATAGATTTGTTAATGCCATCATTTTTATCAGCTATGTGGTTAATGCATCGAATAATAGCCATTAAAATAACTTAATTCAAGAGATAACTTATCTCTAGTCACTAATTATTCCCTTCAGTTTCTAAATTTCGCGATGCGTTGTTGCAGCGTATTACCAGACGTTTTAACATATATTCGCTGACATATCTTGAGCGAAATGACTAGATTAGGCAAAAAATTGCCGAAAAGTGAACTAAATGAATGAATGGTATTCTTTCTAGAATTGACGCGCTAGAAGCGCTTGGCAGACGCATAAAACTCATAAATTTACGAACATTATTTTTCATAAATTGTTGTTCAAATTACATAAACCTAAGTATACAGATAATGACCACGGATTAATCATGCAATTTACTGAAATGCATTTCGTATTAAATCTATATTTAGAAGAAACTTCGAATTAAACTTCTAAATTTTTAATAAGCCAAGTTTTAATGCATAAACTGACCGTATCATGCAGAACTTACGCTGGAAAGGCTATGGGTAAAAATATCGAGTTATAAAATATTTAACACGCCTACGTAACATCTAACGAAGCGATACATATGGGTAACTGCCTCAGCCTGGTTTTAGTGATTATTAAATACGGGCAAGATGTGTACTTGTATTCAAAAACTAATAAATTTTATCGCCCGTGTGCACTGTAACAGCGCAAATTAATAATTGGAAAAAGGTACAAAAAGTGAATTTATCCTTGTATCTTAAACGTACCAAAATTGACTCATAGATGAAAATTAATAAATTTAAAATATGGAAATTGGCAAAGCATAACGGCCATTGGACGTGATCTTGTTCTCACCATCAACAGTGAATAAAGCTGTGAAAGATGTTGACCGCATGAAAGAACATTCAAAAAGATCTGTCAATTTTTGGATTTGCCACTGTTCGAATAATTTCAAAACGTTTAACGGCCAAATTAAACATTTTTCTAATGATACCGTATTGAAACGATAAAAATGTACCGTTCAAAGAAAGACAAAATATTCCTTACTTCACAGCCACACTGAAATACAGTAAAACAGATGAGTCTTAAACCGGATTGTACCGCCGTTGACCGGCGGTATTGAAACGCTACTCCAGAATAACGGCTATATTGTTGTATATAAGCAGTTTTCTACTGTTGTATTTTCTCATGCCATTGACCCCCTATTGCATTTCGTTGCATTAATAATTACATATGAAACCTGGTCTGTATATGCATCCTGTGAATGAAACTAACAGAAATATCCTATAAAACAAATCAGCGTACTAATGCCAACACGTAATCAATGGTATATGATTAACGGGTTGATTCGGACGCGTGAAATTCTAAAAAGATCTTGCTGAACGTAACTATTACGTAAGTGAAGGTCTAATTGTATTTGTGTAGATGAATATAGCCGTAAACGCCATGAGTTGTATTTAAAATAACAATGTATTTTAGACAATTTCGTCACGTGTGATCCAATGACCTCTGAAAGGTAACGCACACATTCATTTAACTCGGCGAAGTACCTGGTAAAATATTTACTACTGAAAACAAGAGCGCGACAGAATTCAGTAGCTCGTTTATGCGTATGCAAGAACGACAAGAGCGGGTCATAAAAAAGTAATCTCAATATAAAAAACGACACGAAGGACATTTTCCAAGCACAGAATCAGAAGAAACATAAAACAGAAAAAAACACCAGATAAAAGGGAAAAGCGTATTTTACAACATTGTCACAAACAAATAATCTGCGACAATAAACAGGCCATAATTGGACCATCGCATGCATATTAACTCACAATGATCCATGGAAAGTAAAAACTATTTGAAATAAATTTAAAAATAACGAATAACATGAGTAACAAGCAAGTTAGGTTTAAAATACGCGGAAGGTTGGACCCAAAGACGTAGACGACTGACGTCGTTGTCGAAACATAACCAGTCATATACAAAAGAATACGTGCTGCAGTGGAGGAATAACCCAATAACACGAGACAACATTAATTACTTAATAAGTCGATGCATAGCTTAACAAATTGCACCGCTGTGTTCGTCGAGTCCTTTGCTTGTATCCAAGCACACGACCGAAAGAGGAGGCTTTCTCAGGTTTGGTGATGACCTGCAAGCCTGAGTCACGTATTCGGTGAATGAGTCGCCCTCGCCTCGACAGTCTTCATTCGACGTCTCGGAGTTGGGAGGCTTAGAGATGCGCGGCGGCTTCAACAGTTTTACGTTTGGCAGACTCACAACGGAGTTCACGTTCGACACCGTCGTCGAACTGGGCATGGTTAGGCGCTGCGAGCCGGCACCCCGCTCAATGAGAGTAGCCCGGTAAGCGGTGAGGTACGCGGCGGCCGTCAGGCGCAGATAGGCGATTTCGTGCGTGATCTTGAGCGTGAAATCAGGAATGAACGTCGGCTTCCTTAACGTGGTCATCGTTTCGAGGTTGCAGTTGATGTTCGACGACATGCTGACAAGCGGTGCGTTTTCAGACATGATCGTCAACACT